GCCGTGTCTTTAGTGGTCCTGGGGGGAGGGTTTGACATGGGTATCGAGGCTGTGTCTTCTGTGTGGGGGTGGAGGGGGGCGTTCGGCATGCGTGTCGATGCCGTGTCTTTAGCAGTGCCGGTGGGGCCAGCCTGGGTGTCGGGGGCCGTGTCTTTGACCCGGTTGGTGGTGGTGGCGGGGCGTGTTTGACATGCACGGCGATGCCGTGTCTTTAGCAGTGCCGGGGGGGGTCGACATGGGTGTCGATGCTGTGTGTTTGGCAGCGGGGGTTCGGCATGGGTGTCGAGGTTGTGTCTTTGGTGCAGTCGTGGGTGATTCATCATGCGTGTCAATGGCGTGTCTTTGGGGACAGTTTGATGTGCACGTGGGGGCCGCATCTTCGCTGTGAGGGTGGGGGGAGTTCGGCACGCGTGTCGAGGCCATGCCTTTAGCAGTGCTGGAAAGCTGACACGTGTGTCGAAGCTGTGCCTTTGGCGCTGGGGGGGTCGGCACAGGTGCCGTGGCCGGACATGGCAGTCAGCCCTAGTGGGTGGGGGGCCTGGCCACAGGAGGTTTGGGGGGTTTCTTTGCATTTCCCTGGCCCCCTTCTGCAGGGGCCTGGGCGGCTGGGCTCTTTTCCCTGCCTCTCCCACTGTCCTGGCCTGGGGGCCTCAGCTTCTCCACCTGTGAAATGGGCGTAGCTGGGCAGTTCGTCATTGGCCTCCTTTCTTAATTGGTTCTGCTGCAGTTAACGTGGCTGGTTTATTCCTATAAATGGGGGGTATTCCTTCTCCCCTCAGCTGGGTGGGAGCTGGACGCCTGGCCCCCAGGCCTGGCAGGGGAGGGGGCGGGTGAGCTTGGTCCAGTGGCTCCGGGAGCCCGGACGCCTGGCTTCTTTTCCCCGGCTCCCCTGCCGCATCTCCCTGGGGGGGGAGGCTCAGCTTCTCCACCTGTGAAATGGGCACAGCGAGGGAACAGAGCAGAGAGACGTTCCCCCTGCCGCGAATCCCCTGCGTTCCCAGTGCCTGGGAGCGGGCGGGGGTCCCTGCATGTTCCCACGTGCATGCGTGTGCTTCTGCATGTGTCTGTGTGCGCTCATGTGCGGGCATGTGTGGGCACGTATGTGTGTAATTGTCTGCGCACATTGCCCCGTGTGTATGTGCATCTGTGTGCATGTGTGTCATCACGCATGGGCATCCATGCCCATGTGGGTGCATGCATGTGTGCATGCGCAGGTGTGTGCGTGCATGTTTGCATGCATGTGTCCATATGCGTTCATCTGCATGTGTACAGCTGTGTGTGTGCGTGTGTCATCATGCATCTGCATCCCTGTGGGTGTAGGCATCCGTGTGCAAGAGTGCTCGCTTCTGTGTGTGCGTGGGTACATGGGCATGCATCTGTGTGCACACCCCTGCATGCATACGTGCGTCGTCCTGCATGTGTAGGTATCCATGTGCACGTATAAGTATGTGTGTGTTCACGTGCGTGTGTGCATGCATGACTGCCTGTACATGTTGTCACGTGTGTGCATAAATTGGTGTGTACCCGCGCATCTGTGTGTCGTCCTACTCACGTGGGCCTACCTGTGCAACCATGCATGCGTGTGCAAGGCAGGGGTGCCCGCCCAGGCATGCCCGCAGCACAGGGACGACAGGTTACATGCTGTACACCAAGTGAGGGTGTCACGTGAGACACGCGAT